TTGTGTGCACTTATGCGGAATCTGGTTAAAGTGGTGCATTTATCTCTATCTTTAATTGTATCTAATGAATATGAGCTTTGTCAATATATTTTGTCATGTGGACAGAGATTTTACAATATGACCAGGCAAAGAGAGGCAGAAGCATCTCCCCTTAAAGATAAAAATCTATCTGAGAAAATTTAAGATAAATGTTTAGAAGGCCAATTCTTCATCTGTCTCAATCTAAATATGGTTATGCATGAATTAGATCAGATTACTTCAATAATATCCTGAATAAATGATACATCATATTGTGCAGACTTAAACATGTTTACAAGTAACTTTAAGATACCATCATAAGCAATTGTTTTAAATTATTAATTTTGGGGGACACCTTAATTAGGACAAAGTTGAGGATGAAAAAAAGAATGACGGTACAGTTAATGTTGATCACTTGAGTATTTAATTGAGAGAATTTGAGATGTACTACTTCTATTGAGGCATTAATTATTAATAATCCTGCCACTGCTCTAACAGAAGCCGGGTTCCATCTTTTGACAAAAGTGTAAGCCAAATTTTCATGAAAAAAACTTCATGCATTTTTGAACTTACTCCAAGTGGTGTTCCCTTTCCCTTCCAAGCTGGACCTGCAAATCTATAGTATTGTTCCTCTAGCTTTTGACGTTTAGCTTCTTCTTTGGGTTGTAATACATTTTTTCTATACTCAGATGCCTGAAACACAACAAAACTTATAACATCATTTCTTTCAAAACCATTAAGTTTTCTTTATTACATAATAAGTAAATAAAATGGTTGCATAATCCCTTTTGGACTAAAAAACCTTAAAAGAGGTTCACCTCCAAAGGCAAAACTTTTTTTGGCTCGAAAAGAGATAATACTACCATTATTTTGGGCTTTGCATTTATTTCTTTTATCATATTCTATTTCTATTACTTAATAATAATAATAATAATGATATCTGCTACCAGTACATGATCCTTCTTTTCATAATTAACAACAGAAACAATATGGTACATGGTACAAACCCACAGGGAATAATAAACTTCCTTAAACACATTTTCCCTACATTCAAGTAAATTCTGTCACTGTATATACAGTAGACCATCAGGACATAGGTTACCTGCATGAACTATATCAAAGCTACATGGGCCTTTATATTGCTATACAAAGAGGTGAAAAAATACATACATCAACTACATGACAAACAGCGTATGTCATAATAAAAAAAACAGTTCCATACTCCAGCAGTTTTCTGTAATACAGTGTATAATATTTTAGCTTACAACCCAATATATATATCAAAGTTGTTCATACAAGTTGTTCAAGTAAAGGATCCTTGGCATTTCTAAATTTCTACAACACATTTTCCCAATAATTAATAGTTGGAAAATTGTAAGTAAACTACAAAACAATCTGACACTACTCAAGCCTAAAATTAGGATGATCATATCCTTTATCAAAAGCACATCAAGACACAAAGACATTCCGAGCGATCATATTTCTAATCCCTGTGCACCTCCCAACTCCCCTTGAACTGTCAATGATTCCACGCAGTCTTGTTGGTCAAGTACCTCAAGTGCAGTGTCTTCTGGAGACCGGAACTCATGATACATGCCCAGGATAGGGCAGTGACATGCATTTTACGTGAAATGTGTTTCTTAATATTAAAATTAATTAATAAATCAAATCACTTTTAGAGCACATATTCTCTTCTTTGGTGCTTTTTTCACTACCTAACTTGTTTCTGCACATAGGGTGACCAAGTGTAAATCATAGATTTCTTATATTAACTGTCGTAAGTTGAATGCTTTAATTTTCTAAACGTCCTAGTTACATATATCAATCACGAAGAAGAAACTAAACTTCCAGTTCATAAATAACAGCTGCAGCTTCTGTGAGATAAGATAAAAGTTCACTTGTATCTGGCTTCATGCAGCTGGGGTGTTTAAATGAAGTCTAAACCGGTGAATGGTGACCCAAAACATTGCAGTATAACTGACATATATGCAAATTTTGTACTTCATATATTTAATATCAAATCCCTTCCAAATCTGTTAATTCCTCTCATCTGTCTGCAATTACACTATGATTTTTAAAAGGGAACATTCTTTCCACAAAAAGCAGATTCAACACTGAAGTAAACCTTCATCATATATGTGTGTGATCCAAATGCATTTTAAAGGTATACTATATTGATTTTCTTTGAAAAAGTCTCAAGTCCCAAAATGCACTATAATGCTGTAAATCTTTCCCAATTTAGAACTTAAAAGTATGTGATGCTAATATCTCTTTTTTCGATGGACAGGAAGGCATGGCGATTTAAACACCTGCTTTTTTCTTGCAGAATATTTGATTTGGCATAAAAATCCTGGCACAAAATACATACAAGATTAAGTAATGAAAAGGCCAGACAAAACTGATAAATTGGTAAACAAAATCATCTGACTCTAATTTTGTAGAGATTGTAGATGAAATTTGTAATTACTCCCAAAAAATATCTCATTAATGTTGAAATTTACTTCCCCTAAAATAAGACTGATAGAAAAAAAAAAGGAAAGGAAAAGCCAAACCCTGAAATTTAGCTTCTATGCTTATTATTAATAAACAACATTGTTTAAAAACAGTTGCTACTCATTGACCAACCTTCAATTTTGTCTGCCCTAAAGTAGTCAAATTCTACTGAAAATGTGTCTAATCCTTCAATGAAAAATATCACATTACTTTTTCTGCATAATCTTCCTGAATTTTCTGTCTTGTTTCCTTTTCTTTCTCTTTGTATTTCTGTTCTTCAGTGGGCAGTATGTCTGCAACTGTTACAGAAAATAAACATAATAATACAAATAATAATAATAATAATAATATACTAAAAACATTGAAACTGCGAGTAGTTCTCAAGCTTGTCAATGACTTTCTCCATTTTCACAGTGTAGTTAATAACTCACAATCACTACAATCCTTTCTAACTCATTCAAATTGACATGTATTAGGGGCTTTTGCTATTCTGAAAAATCCAGATAATTGCACTAAAAGCAGTTGTGAACCTTTAAAATCAAGGGTTTGCTATGGCAAAGATCTGCTATGCCAAAAGGACAGGGTTTGGTATTTGGAATGTTTCGCTACGACTAGGGTTGGCTATTCCTACAAATAAAACTGCCATAGCTGCACTTCACCAATTGCAGGATTTACGACCAGTGTGCAAGCACCATCCTTTACGCTCTATCAATCTGTATGTGTGTTTCGGAATAGTGAACCTTCTTCATAGCAGACATTCAGCATAGCGATCCTTAGGCAAAGTGAAACTGCGCCATAGCAGACCTTTGGCATAGTGAATCTTTGGCATAGTGAACCTTTGTCACACAGAAGCTCACCTGACAATTGCAGGGTTATTAACTGACTGTCTGTCATGGCAGAAAAATGATGAATTTTTATAAAAACCCATCGCAACTTGTTAAACATCTGAACACAATTTTAAAAGTAATTGCCGTTTTAAATGTTCACCAATTAAACCAAAATGATTGTTAACAATAAATATTGCTTCGTTTTGATATAAAAAAAATAAAGAATTGTTCTTCTGCCTTGAAGGAAAGGGGCTAAAACCTGGTCAAACCTTTTGTTTTAGATTCTAAAAATCCCTTGAGATACTTCCAACAAATGTATAGGACACCACTCAAAGCCACAGATATGATCAGGAAACGTAGGCCACTCAGTACCAGTAAACTCAAGAGCTGATAAGGATCTGAAATAAATAATAAAATTATATCATGCAATTTCCAATCATTTCTGTTTTTAATCAACTCTATAAGAACTATGTTCCAATATACTGAGTGAGTCATATTTACACAGTAATTTTTGGCATCAAATTGTAATAAATGATTTTTTAATCCTACAAATATTATATATGCAAAGGGCATCTTCATATATACACTGTCAAGAAGTTTCAGTACACAGTCAACATTGGCTGGGGTATAGAAGTTCAAAAAGGAGGTTCATTGTCTTCAGCAATATTCAAGATTACAAAAGAGACCTCCACATGCAGGCATGTGCAGGACAAAGGTGTTGATAGCTACAGCCACGGACCATAAACATACAGTAACAATTATTACATAATTATACAACAATGTTTATCAGTCATCTATAGTTACCTGATGGACATTCATTATATAACTTGTGTCATCACTATTATTAACAATTTATATAATGCAGCCTGATTATATCGGAAGCCTGGTATGTACCACACATATTTCGTTATCTCAAAGATTTACCCTTTACGGGGCTACAGAATAATTATCTTTACTTTCTTCAACACTGTGGAAAAAAGTGCCATTTATTAGCCAGAGGCATATCTATAAATATCTAGTGAAAAGTCAATCTGTGGACATGATTCTATGGTAGAGGGTAATTTTAATTTAAAGATGTGCATGTATGTATCATTACAATATGTACACCAACATATTTTTCAGGATGCCACTAACTCCCTAGCTCTTTCTCTAAATAAATTTTAAGCAGGTAAACATTAAGTACATATAAGGCCTGTCTGGGTGTGGACAGTCTAAACTGGATTCCCCAGAATAAAATTTCAGTCATTCTCAAGTACTGATAGTTTCCCTACTTGTGCCCATCCCATACCCATGGCTTGGAACTGTATTCAACAGTGTAGTCATTGATAAAAATTTAAAAATGACCTGGTAAGGAGTTTACGGATTTTCAGGATACCAGGTCACTGCGTAATATAAAGGGACTTGCAACAACCTGCACTTGGCCTTACTTGGCCTAAATAAAAGTAAAGTTACATGGATTGCAATACAGTACATAAGGAGGAGAAGGGCAGAAGCTGTAATGTTTGAAAATCTCAACAAAGGGTTACGTATATAAAACGGTGTAAAATATATATTGAACGCTACCGAATCACACCCTCCACATTACCATAATCAAGGGTATAAACAATGGCCGACAGTCCCAAAACAGCTGCTAGAAGAAACCAGTCCTTTCCAGCCATCGCAATGTATTACCGAAGTAACTTGTAAACATGTCCGCGAAGTTCTTAGCTTAGGCAATTTAGGTTGGAATTTCCCCAAATTGAATGTGACATTAAATGCATTTTCTGCCAAAACATGGTTATTTTTCTTATACTTGTCTTTTACTTATATTCAAGTNTGTTCACCATCATTTCACAAGAGACAACAGAAAATCTGTTTCTTTGCATTTTCACGTTGTAATTTTTAATCTATTTTGACATTGTCAGATTTCCAAAGAAGCTCATCCAAACCTACTCCGTATTCCCAAACCAAGAAGAGACGTCCGATGTCGTGGTTCAGCCTTACAACTCGTTGCTTACTCTGAAGAGGCTAACACAGAATGCAGACTGCGTCGTGGTTCTTGATAACACGGCTCTACACAGAATTGCTGCTGAGAGACTCCATCTTGAGACGCCAAATTTCGCCCACATAAATCAGTTGGTAAGAACAAGATAAGACTGCAAAATTGCAATGAGTATCTGCAAATAACGGCAAAATTGAGAAGTATTGGAGGGCGTGAGACACTGAAATTTTGGATTTCAAATAACTTTGTTTTGAGACTTAAAATTTTTGTCAAAAAATGAATACTATGTCAGTTATGATGTTGCATTCTACTGGTGAGGACTTTGAATGGCAAAGGATAGTTCAGCTAATAATAATAATAGTTTATATAATATTTATACATAAAGGTATAAAGTGAATATTGATAATATCTGTCGACACGGCTTTTCCCAGGATTGGGGGTACAGGCCGTCCAAAATTACCACCTTACCAATTTCAGGGAGTCCAAGTATGCCTAAAGCCGTCATGTTTTTAAAAAATCCATAAGCCGTTGATCCAGCTGTCTTTGAAAATATTGGCTTACCAGTGATGCAGTTGGCCATCCAAATGTCTGTCTGTTGATAAAATTTGTCAAATAAAATCATTGATTCAATTGAGAAATGATAAAGAGACATAAAAGATGAATTTGTTGTCGTCTCTTTTTACAGGTTTCCACGGTGATGTCGGCCAGCACAACCACCCTTAGATACCCGGGCTACATGAACAATGATCTGATTGGTCTGATTGCATCTCTAATCCCCACGCCCAGACTTCACTTCCTGATGACAGGATACACACCTCTCGCCACAGACTCACAGGTAAGTTATTTGTTTATTAATTTATTGATTGATTGATTTATTGGTATTTTAGATAGCACATGTATATGACTAGTGAATAATCCATCAATATTTATTTATGGAATTAAATACTGTAGTCTGTTTACAGTACTATACTGTAAAGAGATGAGTAAATGTCACAGATTGAGAAGGATAATTCGGTAGTTCTTTGACACTGTCTAGTCTCTTCGATAAAGGTTTTAAGATAAAAAAAGAGAGAAATGAAAAAGATTGAAATTAGAACTTTACGCAGCATTTAATTTAGATATAACAGATCATTTCAGACCTTAGCAACTTTATTTACTTATTTTTTTATGTATTTATTTATTTATTTATACATTTTGATATTAAAATATATATATATATGTATTATACTCAGACTGCCAGTGTCCGTAAGACCACAGTGCTAGATGTGATGAGAAGGCTACTTCAGCCCAAGAATATGATGGTGTCCACTCCTGTCCAGAGACAAGCCAATCACTGCTACATCTCCATACTGAATATTATACAGGGAGAGGTTGACCCCACACAGGTAATGCGTGGCAGTTAGGCAAAAAAAAAAAAAAAAAAATTGAATTTTTACTGTGTTCCAGAAGAATAGGGTTCCTGTAGTTGTCCAATTTCCAAGTCCTTATCTATTTTCAAAAATTCTTTTCCTTAGTGTCACTTATTTATGAAAGAATCACTTTGTTTTTACATTAATGAATTGAGTAGCACCTGACATTAAAGATTGCTGCTTTTTCCTCTCCCTCTTTCCCAATATTATAGAATAAATGGTCTTTTTTGTGTGTTCATTGTTATAGTCGTCTTCTGTTACAGAGAAGGCAATTAAAATGTTTTTGGTGTTATACTTATGTTATTAGTTAAACTGAGTTTCTTTCTAAAATATTCCTTTGCACTCATTAGGTCCACAAGAGTTTACAAAGAATTCGAGAGCGAAAGTTGGCCCAGTTCATTCCCTGGGGTCCCGCCAGTATCCAGGTGGCGCTGTCGCGGAAGTCGCCTTACATCCAGTCTGCCAATAGAGTCAGCGGCCTCATGATGGCCAATCATACGAGTATATCTTCAGTAAGTACCTGACCAAAAATGAGAAATATGTATAACCCTGATAATGGATCTTAAATTTATCAACTGACTGATGCTGTGGTCTCAACCTGAGACCTTTTATTAGGTAAATGACCTGGATGGACAATAGATCAGGTGACCAGTCCATCTGGGTCATTTGCCAAGTGAAAGGTCTAAGGTTGAGGCTGCAGTGTCAGTAAAAATTATTCATATTTATCATTCTTATTCTACTGGATGACTAAAAACTCACTCATTTACCTGACACAAAGTTAATGAACTGCTTGTCCAGTAAACTCCCCATAACTCTTGCACTTTGAGACTTGAAAATTCGTTTATTGTTTAATATTGGAGTTAGGCAATGCTCATATTTATTTCAAGAAAAAAATAAATGAATACAACAGTTTTGCTTGAGTTGTTCAAATTTGGAACTAAATTGTCATATTTTTAAAATCAGGAAGTGGATGCTTGCTTATACCCCCTCATAACCCACCCCCTTCCCTTTCCAGCACAAAAAATAAAAATAATAATAATAAATGATCCATGATATTTCCAGTTATTTTCCCGTACTCTAAGTCAGTATGACAAACTGAGGAAAAGAGAAGCATTCCTGGACCAGTTTAAGAAGACAGAGATGTTCAAAGACAACCTGGATGAGTTTGACGCCTCACGGGAAGTACTGCAGCAACTGGTTGAGGAATACCAGGCAGCAACAAAACCAGATTATATATCATGGGGCACACAGGTAATAAGGAGATGGATTTAATTTAAAGCACACAAACCAGGATTTTTCCACCAAAATTCATATTTAGCGAATTTTCCCCAAGGTAAAGGGCATTTTCCTTCCAACTTAACAACCTTAAATCTTCCTTTTCTGACATTCCCTTTAGCTCTGTAAGAAGTTTGGAAAAAAGTGAAAAATCAAAAGCTGTGCTGAAGCATGGGTTTGTCAAGACGGCTGAATACCTAGATTGAATAGGACAGTGAATATGGTATTGATTTAGGGTATCTATCTGTCCATTTATGTTTTAAAAAGTTAAATTGTTTCAGGTGAGATCAACAAGTAGCAATTCATGCTCTAAGAATGCATTCAAAATCCTGGTTTGTGTCCCTTTAATTAATGAAGTAATGAATTAATTAACCTAGAAGTTCTTAATTTGTAGTCACTCTGGGCAAACTGCACCGTTGATGTGGTAATGAATGAATTTGAGTCATTTTCCAATGTATGAATGGCCCACATACACCATATGTGCTATATTTTCAAAGAAAGTTTGTACATTTAATTGTAAGATGCTGAAAGTTCAAGAATTTTATTTCATATACTGCACTGTATGTCAAGTTGGAACTAGTAACATAACTAACGTACTGCCACACATAGTGTATAATGTGTTAGAGTTGTTAGCAAATTGACGGTTGAAACTTTTGAATTGATATCATTAACACACTAATGTACTTTGTCTTTTCATTTGCTTTTAGGCAGGCGTGTAGCTGAGAAGTCTGGAAGATTTTGAGGATTTCAGTGAACTCTTTATAATACACCACACATGAAAACATTAAACAGGTCATTATAAACTTGACTAGAGCACAGCTGAGCTTTGCTGGTAACAAGAACTGCAAAATGAGTTTTAATCATCGCTTGCTTTGATGGCATCAACAGAAATGACCTGATTCTTGGTGTCTTTCTCCATAGAAAGATTTACTGGGAGTTCATGTCAAGATGTCTGTGTATATATCGAGAGAAATTGTCCAGTTTGTCGGGGTAAGACAGTGGTTATTCCCACTCCTCTCTAAGATTACCCTACAGGTATATCATCTTGAACACTTCGTGGTGTTGTTTGTGTAAAGAAATAAACACCATAATGAGAAAATATTGGCATGGATGGTGTAGAGAACTGTAAATCATCTTGGGCATGTTAAATTGGCTGTTGAATAGAAATGAAAGCCATTTTGAACAATTCTAAGGACATTTTGACACGGCTGGACCTTGTGTTGAGTTGACGTGGCTGGTGGCTCTGTTTGCATGCCTCAGATGTCCTGGGGTTTTAAGAACATCCTCACGAATAATCCCGGATTCAAAACTTTATGGTTTGTAGACACTTAATGTACTTGGAACCATAGAAGGCAATTGTCTAATGCTATGAATACAGAAAAAAATATCTGTGGTGAATGGCCAATTAAAAAGTTAACTGTTATGGTAAGGAAGTATCTGTCCTTTGATTTTAAATAATTTATTATATTTACATATATAACATTTGGCCAAGTGTCAGATATCTGAATAGCTTAAAAATGAAAAATAAAATTTTGTTTCTGCAAACCCCCACCTCTTTTTTTTATTGTCAACCTAAATTTGAAAGTTGCAATAGATTTAGTGTTTGATAAATAATAATGATATTAATAATAAAAAAAACTAATAATAAACAATGATGTGTTTCTTAACCACTAAGAAAATTAAATGAAAAAATTATATATACTGTATATGAGAATTATTATTACACAGTAGACGTGTCAATGTTTCCAATCTGACTAGGAGTTTTTTCTTTACCTATAGGCTATAATCTTGAAACAGAGGGCCAGTCTATATTTTATCCCAAAATAAATAAAAGTGGTAGATCTAGGTATTGCATTAAATTATAACAATAAAAATATGAAAGATCATTATAATTCTTTTTTTTTCTTTTCTTTTTTTCTTTTCTTTTTTATTTTATTATTATTATTATTTATTATTTTTTTTTTTTGAGGGGGGGGGGGGTAATTTTCGGAGAGTCCATAAGGGAAAAACCTATATATAAGTGAAATTGTGCTAGTTGCACCGCCTCAACTCATTGCGGTAGTTGCGCCAACGATGACCTTGACTTCCGTTTACAAACGTGTATTTCAGTAAACAAGGAAGACGGACAGGAATAGTGGCATTTGAAGCTCACGCAATACCTCTCCGATCAACTGACTTTGCCACCGGTAGGTCATTCTATTATTAGTTGAATATTAATATTGTTGTGATCGGAGTTTTTTCCTTCCTCCACCTGGTCTGCTCTTCATGTGCCAAGATAGGCCACCTCAGGTGAGTGAGCTAGGCCAGGTGGGGACAGCACGCCCCCTGCAGGAGATCGTCACTATTGTGACATCACAACTGTCACA